ACACTCAGAAGCTTTAACACCCTGTGAACATGTTGACTTAACTCACAAGTGTGAAACGTCTTGTTTCTGCATTGGTCAAATGATAACTCTGCAGCCGAGGCCCTCACAGGCTTTACTCACAAAACCAGGAAATAGATTTTTTTTCACCACAACAAAGTGGGGTGGAGTATTGAGGGACACTCGGGTTCTGGTTTTAATCTCAGCTGTGTAGATCTTCATGTTTGGACTTGAGATGTTCTTTTTCTTAAATATTTTCTTCAGGAACTTGATTTGTTCTCACATCAAGTGAACAAGTGAGGCAGAAAAATAAAATTAGAAAAAGATGGGAAAAAGTTTCAGTTTGGAAAATATGGACTGATCGGATTTTATTTACATTTTCAAACTGCATGGTGAAAACAATTTATAACCTTCTGAACAAAGAATGGATAAATCTTTATTTGCATTGCAACAAACAAACACGTACTATAATTGCTGATCAACTTTCTGCATGTCTGCTCTATTAAGATGCTTCTTCTTCTTCATTGAGCTCGAAGTGTTTAACGCAGGGGTCATCAACTCCAGCCCTCCAGTCCTACCATCCTGTAACTTTTAGATGCGTCTCTGCTCAAACACACCTGGATCAAATAAACTGCTCGTTTCCAGCCTATTGCAGAGAGAAATGAATGCTGGAGAGGGAATTCAGACATTTTGGAGCAGAGATGAATCTAAAAGTTGCAGGATGGTAGCCCTTGAGGACTGGAGTTGGTGACCCCTGGAACGTATGAAGGCGCCCTGACATCAGACTAATCTTTAGCTCCCTCTACTGGTCCAAGTTGAGACTCAGATTGGGAAGCTAAAAAATGTTAAGATTACTTTCATTCAGAGGAAAATGCTAAAATTAAAATATTACCTTACTCCTAAATCTGCCATAGGTGTGAATAAGTTTTGTCTATGTGTAGATTCTCTGAAACTAATTTTGAAATTCCTTCTTGGTTTCAGAAACACAACAGGCCCAAAACATGCATATTGTGACAGTGAACAAATCGCCTGACCTTCACACAGGCTGACATCAAAATGCAAATCAGTTTGACTTGTTCTGTCTGTGTGTCTTCACTTAGTCACATTTAACATAAAACTAATACGTAAATATTAAAAACATATCTAAATATAAACACACCAGCATTTGGTTCCTTTACTGAGCTGTTACTGTCACTAACACTGGTCACGTGTTTCCTAACTTCGGCAGGTCTCCTTTAAAGGATGTTGTTGTAGACATCATTGTGATCATGGCTCAACGTGTTTGGAGTGGTAGAGTTCATGTAAACAACATCCTCATGTAACTCATAGATCTAAAGAAATAAAAGAAATAAGATTTTATTTTCAGGCAGAAAAAAATATTTTAGAGCT